AACACTACCAAAGCAAGGCATGGTGGTGCACCCCTGTAATCCCAGCATTTGGGAGGCTGAGGCAGGAGGACCTCTGGGAGTTCAAGGCCAGCCTGGGATACAAAGTGAGCTCAAGGACAGCCCGAACTGCATAGCAAGACCCTGTCTCAAAAGGACAAAAAAATAAAATAAAATCTTGTAAATGACCTAAAACCCTCAGAAATAGATGCTTTAAGATGGCAAATGACGTGGTGAAAATTAAAGGTGACTTATGCCTTCATAAAAATTCAGTCAATTTTTTAAAACAGTAATAGACATCCATGACTGCCATAGGTGTTCATCCTATGAATTACAGCGACCAAGTTCCTTGTTCTTTGGCTTGAATCGTGTTGGATTCTGCCAATGGCAGGTTCTCTTAGGATTTTTTTTTTTTTTTTTTTTTTTTTTTTTTTTGGTACCTGGACTTGAACTTAGGGTCTTGTGCTTGCCAGGCAGGCGCTTGTGCCACTGAGCTATATCCCTGGCCCTCTTAGGATATTTTTGTCTTTTTTATTTTTGAGACAGGGTCTCACTGTGTAGTTCAGGCTGACCTCAAACTCACAGCAACCCTCCTGCCTCAGCCTCCCCAGTGCTGGGCTGACAGTCACGTGCCACCATGTCCGTGTTTCTTAGTATATTTCTGTTCTGTTTACAGCCCTGGCGTGCTGGACAATGCCGAAGGCTGAGCAGAGACTGAAGGAAATAAGCAGAGATGGCTTTTGAGAAAGGAGGTTTATTAAAATATCAACAGCACTGGATGTAGCAGTGCATGCTTGTAATTGCAGCATTCTGGGAGGCTGAGGCAGGAGGATGGCGAATTTGAGTCCAGCCTGAGCACTTAGCAACTTAGTGAGACCCTGTCTTCAAATAAAAAATAAGAAGATCTGGGGATGGAGCTCGGGCTGGCATGCAGCATCCCCAACTGGGCAGAGTCTTGAGCACCAAAACAGGGGAACCTCGGGGACCGAGGGTTGAGTGCACTGGTTTTTCTCAGGGATGACACAGTTTCTGTAGCTGAAACAAAACACCTGGTGCTGGGGAATCTGTAAAGAAGTTTGTTTTGCTTAGAGTTCTAAAGGTCCAAGACACAGCACCATTCTCTAATGATGTTTCTAAATTTTTCTTTTAATTTTTGTTTTCCTTAGCATGTGTTTGCAGTATGCAGTGATCACATTCCTCCGTGCTTTTTACTTCCCCTGCCCTTCCCTCCCACTCCCCTCCACCTCTTCCCTTCCCACTTGCAAAAGCTCTTATCTCCCTGTTTACTATTATCTCTTACTTTGCTCTTTGATTTATTTCTACCTTGGGTTTCTCATGTAAGAGAAACCATATGATATTTAAGCTGTGTGTCTGATTTATTTCACTTGACATCATGGTCTCAAGGTGCATGGCCGTTTTCCTACAAATGACTCAAGTTTATCCTTCTTTATGGCAGAGTAGTATTCCACTGTGTGTAAGTACGTTGTCTTTATCCATCCATCTGTTGATGGACACACACAAGCCCCTCCTAAGGTATTGCTAATGTGAGTTGTGCTGCTATAAACATGGGTGGGCAGGGGTCACAGGGTCAGTCTCTGGTGCACAAGGACTTCACAGCAAATGGCATCACAATGCCCACCGTTATTGGGGGCGGTGGCACACATTGTAATCCCAGTGCTCAGGAGGCTGAGGCAGGAGGAGTTCAAGACCAGCCGGAGCTACATAGTGAGATCCTAGTCTCTATAACAAAACACAAAACAAAAAATCCCTAAAAACGAAATTCGTTGACAGTGGGGGTGGTGGGTTTGTGACTCATGCCAGGCTTCTCCTCTGTCTTGCATTCCTGTCTGGTTCCTGTCAGTTTCCCAAGGCTGGCTCTGCCACGAACCCCGGGACCCGCCCCACAAATTCCTCTGTTGCTTAAATCACCCTGAGTCAAGCCATGTTGCGCGCGGGAGATTGCTCGCAACAGCAAGCGGTAAACAAGTGTGTGTGGCGGAGCTCCTAAACTCCAGCGGGACTCCAGGGCGTGGAGACGGCCATGTCCGAGGTTCGGTGACAGGCAGACGCCACCGTCCTCCCAGCTCAGCGAGATAAGGCCTCCTTGCTGGGTCCGGGGCCGGAGGTCCTCTCCAGCTCCCATCCATGTACCTCAGAGCTAAGGGGCCCCCTCCCTCTCCCTCCCTCTCCGTCTCAGGCTAAGCACATGTTCTACCACTGAGCTACAGCCCCAGCCTCTTTCTGTTATTTCACCTTGAAGTTAATCGATCAGGATATGCTGTTCACTTCACCTGCGAAATGTGTCCCGCCCTGCAGGGCGTGGCGGCGCACGCCTGTCATCCCAACACCCCGGAGGCGGAGGCAGGAGGACCGCATGCGTTCAGGGGCGGCCGGGGCTACACAGCAAGACCCTGTCTCAAAACATAAAATTAAATTGAATTAATTTTTTAAAAATAAGGATACACATGGTGGCACACAACTGTATTCCTAGCACTTTTTTTTTCTTTTTTTGGTGGTTTTTCTCCAGTACCGGGAACCGAACTCACAACCTTGCGCTTGCCAGGCAGGCGCTTTTGCCGCTGAGCTAAATCCCTAGCCCCTGCATTCCTAACACTTTAAGAGCCTGAGGCAGGAGGATCATAAGTTTCAGCCCAGCAGACAATTTAGCAACTTAACAAAACCCTGTCTCAAAATGAAAAGGGCTGGGGCTGTAGCTCAGTGGTACAGCCCTCACCTAGAATATACAAGGCCCCAGATTTCAAGACCAGCACCACAAAAATAGAAAGTAAAATTTTATTTTATTTTAGAAATTAAAATTTCACTTTTTTTTTTTTTTGTCTTTTTGAGGCAGGGTCTCGTTATGCAGTTCAGGCTGGCCTTGAACTCACTTTGTAGCCCAGGCTGGTCTCGAACTCGAAACAATCCTCCTGCCTCAGCCTCCCGAGTGCTGGGATTACAAGCATGCGCCACCATGCCCGGTGAAATTAAAATTTTAAAAGAAAGAAAAAAATTTGAAATGGTTAAAGTGGTAAAGTTTATTTTATGTCATGTTCTATCATAATTTTTTAAATAAGCAGGGATGGAAAAAACAGAGCATATTCTTTTTTTTTTTTTTGTCGTATTTTTTTTTTACTAAAACCAGATCCTATACACATATTTTGAACTTTAGGTATTTTTTTGAAATCTATACCTCGGAGGGTTTTCTGCATTAGCTCAGACGGCCTCATTCTTTGGCAAATCTGCAGTCAGGTCCAGTGTTGGATGAGCAATAATTCATGCAACCGGCCCACTACCAAAGGCGAGCTGGGCGTCCCCCAGGCCCTTTGCTGGTACAGGACCGGTGCAGAGAGCAGCACCGCCCAGCCCGCGTCCAGAGGAGAGTGCTTGGCCGGCTCCATGCAATCGTGACTCTTATCAACAGCACAGAGCTCATCCAAGTCCCGCAGGACCCCACTTCTGCGTATGCGCCAGCTCCTTCTCTGCAGCCCCCACCACACACTCTGCTGTCAGCCCTCTGAGTGTACCCCAACCTGCTGGATCCAAAGTGGTATCTCAGCCAGGTGTGGTGGCACACGCCTGTCATCCCAGCACTGGGGAGGCTGAGGCAGGAAGATCTTCATGAGTTCGAGGTCAGCCTAGGCTGCATAGTGAGACTCTGTCTCTAAAGAAAAAAAAAAACTTTTATACCTCACTGTGGCTTTAACTTATTAGGAAGGAAGAAGGATCTCGATATGTCATAGAAACTTTTTTTTTTTTGGTATGAGGAATCAAACTCACCACCTTATATTTGCCAGGCAGGCGCTGTGCCACTGAGCTACATCCCCGGCCCCTTGTAGAAACGTTTATGTTTCACTTGTGTAGACATCTGATGTATCTTTGCCTAATTGGTATTCTACCAGTTTGTTGATAATTTTGTTAATTTTTAACAATTTTTTTTTCCAGTACTGAAGATTGAACCCAAGGCTTTGGCACTAAGCTACTTATCCAGCCCTTTTTAATTTTATTTATTTATTTATTTTTGTCTTTTTGAGACAGGGTCTCGCTATGCAGTTCAGGCTGGCCTTGAGCTCACTTTGTAGCCCCATCTGGTCTCAAACTCACAACGAATCCTCCTGCCTCAGCCTCCCAAGTGCTCAGGCTGGCGATATATAGCTCAGCAGCATAAGCACCTGCCTGGTAAGTGCAAGGTCTTGAGTTTGATTCCCAGTACAAAAAAAAAAAGCCTTCCAAGTGCTGGGATTACAGGCATACACCACCTCATCCAGCTCTTTAACTCTGAGACAAGGTCTTACTAAATTGCCCAGGCTGTGCTCAAACTTGGGATTCTCCTGCCTCAGCCTCTGGAGTGCTGGGATGACCGGCATGTGGTCCCACCACACATTCAGATCCAGAGGTAGAAGAACTAAGCACTCTCCCCAGATGTGGCTGCCGGGTTATTCCTCCCTCAG